TGACAAAGGAAAAATAGTTATCTTCTATAATTTCAAAATAATATAAATATTAGATTTTAAGAGAACAGTGGTGTATCAACATTTTTTGCTAACTCCTATTTCCAAGAACAACATACTTTCTTCCATTTTGGTTCTACTCTTAGGACTCACAAATTTTTCTTCTTTTATTACTTTAAAAAGTAATCTGTTTAATAATTCTAATTAAATTATGAATGGAGAGAGAAATCACTGGCAATTTTTGTTGTGTTCCACTAGAAATATGCTTGTGCTAATATTACAAGAATACAAATTATTTTGAAATATAAAATATCATTAGTCATTCTTTGAATTTTATATCTTTTTAAACAGCAAATTTAAAAATGACTTTAGCCCTGGACAGGTGGCTCAGTTGGTTGGAACATCGTCCTATGCACCAGAAGGTTGTGGGTTCAATCCCTGGTCAGGTCATGTGCATGAGGCAACTGCAAAGGATCATTGTTTCTCACATCGATGTTTCCCTATCAAGCTGATGTTTCTCTTTATCTTTCTCTCTTCCCCTTCCCTTTCCTCTCTCTCTCTAAAACCAATAAAGATATTCTTAGGTAAGAATTAAAAACAAATAAACAACTAAAAATAAACAAAAATTAAAATGACTTTCGACTTCAAAAATATGTATAAATAATTTGTCAGGGAATAAACCATGAAAAAAGTCTAACTATGTTAGCAAAGACATAAAACACATTATTTATTGAAATACATTAATTACTCTCTTTAGGAATATCATATGCTCAAGTGATACTTTACACAAATTAAAATCTTGAATAATTATTTTAAATGATCAATGCATATATATATATATAAATGAGGAATGTGAAAATAACATTGAACTAAACATTGGATTTTTAATTTATCTCTTTCAAATACTTCTAATTATGTTTCTTAATGTACTAAAAGTTCATATCAGTTATAATTTCCTATTTATAGTATTTGGCAAAGAAAGTAGAGGATTGGGAACACTGTAATCCAACAGAGAAAGTTAGTGAAGCATTCTGGACTACAAAGGAGATAGACTGCAAGACATTCTCATGATTTTCTTGAGGATGACACATTCATAAATCAGCTATTTTAATAATTGGAAATGTCTACTATTTCCTAACTATGAGTCTATTAGAATTTATGTATTTGTACTTGCAATCCCCCAAGTAAAAGTGATATTTTTTAAAAATATCATTGGCATTGTCAAATATAATCAACTAAAACTGTCCAAACCATAATAGGGACTTTTTTCTAATGTATCCATAATGTGTGTTGGTCATATTTCTAAGTAATGCTTCTGGAAATTATCAAATGTGTTCATTTTCTTACAAATGTTTGAGTAGCACAACTACAATCTGTTTTATGAGTATAAAATTATTTTTTAAATGTTCATATGTACTGCTAATTAATCTTGCTTTCAGAATTCCAGCTAAAGATTGGCAACATGATTTCTGCTTACTTTGCTCATAACTTTGGTAGATACAAGCTTTACAATGATATAGGAGTGATTCCTGATCCTTACATATGCGCACTCTATTTCCACTGTGTTTATCATTCTGGAGGCTATGTAACTTCAACAACAGGGCTGTAATCCAAAAGTTCCACTAACTGTAGTGTCTCACACTAGCTTACCATATTCAGCACAATTTCTGAGATTAAATGTTCAACCCTGATTTATACGTCCAACGATAATAATTAGTTTTCTTTGTTCATGATGTAAAGCCACACACTACGTGTACTTAGACTTGAGATCTAAAATATCCAGACAATGGGTGGTTAAGTATTATTGAGGTAGGGTGGAGATGGAGACAATTTGCCATTCAAATTGTGTACACAGGCAGGCACACATACCCACACCCACATGCACAAATAAATCTTACTATGTCAACAAAAACTGTGCTTTGGAAAATATGATACTATTGAAAATAAAAATAAACTATACAACTGGTTAAGAAAGATGATAGTAACTTAATTTTAATCAAATTTAATTATAAAAGTATTATATGGAAAAACAAAAATTCCTTGAAAACAAAATAATTGATGTGTCAGACCCAATCAGTTTTCACTGAAATTTTCTATGAGCTTCAAATCCCACTGTTGGCCAAATGTTTCTTTATAACCAAATAGAAATATTGCTTGACCACATTTTGTACATCATTTCAATAATTTTTCATTTTAACAACCTTGTTACTATTATGATCAACCCTCTTAATTTATATGTGGTGTGCATGTAGAAATATGCAAAAATACTAATGTAAAATTTTAAGTATAATCAATGCATATTTTCAAATATTTCACAATAATACAAGCAATTTAGATGCTACCCATCTCTATTTCCTTCAGAAAAGTAACTTATAATCACTTCTTAATTTGTATTTTTGTACAGCACATAGTGCTTAAATCTGGCCTTCCCGACTCACAATTAACCTTTTAATAGTATCTAAGACCTATCTAAATAGCATATAATGGACTGCTTCAGTTTTCCATACTCTAAATGTTGTCATTACCTCAAATAAGTAAATGGAACATTTTAAATGACACTTATGAAACCCTCCTATAAATATTTGGTAAAAGGCCCTTAGTATTACTTTCATCACCACCTGTTGGGAATATCTGTCATTTGAACTAAGACAAATTAATTCATCTTACGGAGTAATCATTGTCATTACATTGTCATCAATCATAACCGCAGTAAGATGAGAACTTCTAATAAGATGTTTTGAGTAAGAATTTTCTAAATCTACACATTTTAATTTAACATAATCAGAGGTATATTATTCGTATCTGTAATGTACGCATATAAAACACAGCAAACAGGAGTCATAGAGATGCATGTCATGTCTCTTAAACAAGAGAGATCAGGAAACTTGAGACAGTAACTGCTCTTTGTGTGCAGATCATGTACCACTGAGAGCGCGCAGAACATTTTTCACAACATATTTCACCTAATAGCTACATCCCTAAAATTTCTTACCACAGAACACATTAAGCTTTATAACTAAGGTGAGTGAGAAGTACAAAAGAATATGACCAAGAAACACAGTGTTGCCTAGAGAGGAAGTGTTTTTTTTTTTATTCTTCTAATAGCTGACATTTAGTTTTATTCATGAATTGAGTGCATCAGCTGAAAACAACATTACCGGGCTATTATCAGCTTACTGATCTTAGCTTCATAGCTATTCAACTAACCTCGGAGAGAGGGCCTGAATCAAGATTTTCCCTCAACATATTGAATACTAGGTTATTAAAATTTTGACCTTCACACAAACCGTAAAATAGTTCCAAAAAATATTTTTTAATTTTAAAACATATTATCAGCATGTTCCTTAATCATAAGTGCATTTAAAATAAAAATAAAATCAGAGGAATTGAAAAAATAAGGAATAAAATTTTAAAATTTTCAGTTAAAACCAGTCATTAGACTTTTAACATTATCATGAAACACTGACAAACCTTAATAAAACAAATAAAGAATATTGCTATTATATAGTAATGTCATTACATAGATATATGGCTTTAAGTTTTTCTTCTTTGGACATAGTTGCCATTGGACTAGAACACAGCAGTGAGAAGCTGGATAGCTCTAAACCATACATCCTGAAAGGCATGGAATCAGCAGAAATAAACTGTGGCAGTACTGCTTGGCTGTGAACTTTCACTTAGGAGGTGATGAAATAAGTTTTCTCTCTAAGTAGACCCATCTGGCCACATCTGAATGAAAGCAGCTACCCTCACAACACTGTAAAAAGCTCTGAAGTCTCCGTTACAGAAGTCATTCCTCCCTATTCTGCAGCACCCATGACCATATCCTCATGTGGTCACCACCTACTGTGTGGAAATTATCTACGGATTTATCTTCTTTAGCTCTTCCACCAATATTATGAGCCAACTACTAGATGTCCCTCAAAAGGAAAAGATTTATTTGAATGGAAAATAGTTCATAATTAGAAGAGTTTACTATTACTAGACTCTTGTGACAAGTATAATAAATGACAAGTTTACTAGAAACTAAAATGCCAAATATTAAAGACACACAACTGGAAATTTTAACAGCAAGAAAGGAATTAAATGCTACACATTTAATACAGAACAAAACTATTTTTACAAAAGAGATGCCCCAGATGAGGAGGAAAGTAAGATTTATCTTATCATTTTGTAAGACAAAGTATAAAGTATAATATTGGGGGGCTTCACCCCCAAGTATTATTATATAACTATTATCAAAAATAAAATTATGTCTTTGGAAATAAGAAAATACTGATTTACTGAATTAAATATTTTACCATTCCATTACTTCCAATAGCCTAAATCACAGAATAAAGTACAAAATTTAGCAGGAAAATAATTTTTATCATAGTGAAGTCTACACATTAGAATGAGAAAATAATAATACACATCCTGTAAATAACATGGAACTATGTTTGGTGTTATTGAAAGTTACCCTTTTATGTAAAGCATCTGGGATAAACGCTAATTAAAGTTTCGAAACCCCTAGTTTAACCAGAACAACCTCACACTGTCAATAGCACAGAACGGCCTAGTAACACATGCCAACCGCCTCGGATAGGACAATGAAGAATCCCAGATGTCATGAAGCGTTTCCATTGTTAGAACTTTGCTAACTTCTCAGTAAATCATTTTCAATATTGTATGTAATGTTTTTTCTGCCCTCTCCAGTGGCCCTGACTGCTGTAAAAGCCCATTTTAATGGAAAGAGCCTGCCTAGCCAGAAGAAGATTATTTTCTTCAGTTTCAGAGAAACGAGCACAAATGACACATTTACATAAATACGTGTAAAATGCGCTTTGGTCAGAATGGCATGTATGTACATAAAATTCCTCTCACCACATTCCCACCGACATCACCATCATCCTTGTCATCCTGGTCACCGTCCTCATCACCACGTCACCTTCACCAACCACATCACTGCAAACACTGGCACCATTTCCTCTTCCTCCCTCTCCCTCTCCCTCAGACTGTCTTACCTCTCTCCCTCCTTGTACCGCCTCCAGTCTCTTCAGGTTCAAACCCTGAAAGAAAACAACGGAATATATTAACCTTGGCAAAGAAGTTTAATAATTAGGACTAGTGTGAAAAAATGGAAAAAATAACTCATTAAACAAAGGAGACCTGAATATAGATGACTATCTCACACATATGTCAATATCTATAGCTGCGTAAGTTTTCAAAGTTGGTATAAGCAATTTCTTGCTAAATTTTCAGGCCATAAATAAAAACACAATATAAAGCATTTGCTTTAGTAATGATTACCTGCCCCTTGGGAAAATTACAGTCTAAAAGCTGTAGTGTAAAACCAAAGCAGTGTGGACACGCCACAGGGTGTTAGCACACTCTGACTCCGTCGCACTGGTGCTGACACATGGGGCCCAAATGTAAGGAAAGACGATAAAGCAGCCTCAGCCTTGGCAGCACTGGCCACTGGCTAGGAAACATGCAGGATATTATCTCCTGAAAAAGGACTTTCTGCCTCTTCTGTTATTGTAACTACTTTCCACACTAAGAGTCCCCAGTGAACAAGATGCTTAATTTAAATGGAAGAAGAGTTCCTCTCTTTCATAGCAAGCCTATTGTAGAAAGTGCTTGTGGCACAACAAAGTGTCTCTCTCTTTCCCTTCCTCTCTCTCCCCAAACCCACCCTCTCAAGATTGCCATTCGAACAAAACTCTCGGGAAAACACATCAGAGCTCTTTCTCTGTGTATTTCCCTCTGTGTGTTTCTGGTCATCTACCCCACAATTCTAGCTGCCTTGGTCTCTCTGAACTCAGGTCTTTGTCTCCTCAACTACAAAATTAAAGACCCTGATGTTCTGTGTGGACTATTCCTCCATTCACCATGGTCCAAAAACTATCTCCAGGCAGAAATCCAAGTATTGTAAGACTCTCTTTCTCTTTTCTCAAGCACTATGTCCTTACTTGTCTATTTTATTTTTAATATATGAGAACTGTTTAATATGTTTTCTGCCAGTTTTCTAATTATTACAACAGAGGGCAAGTTGTCTAGACACTACTCCTTCATAAATAGAAGCAGAAGTCAAAGTATTTTAAACATTTTTCAAAGGAGAAAATTAAAGCTTACAAAATTTAAATTCTGAGAACCAGAGCTAGTAAGTACAAAAGTAAAACTTAAACCAATATTTTAAGAACCTGGATACCAAGTTAATCCATTCATCCTTACACAGGGTTCTTTAAATTCATAACAGTAAAAATGTTTCATATGTTTTGTACTTATGGACACAAATCACTTGTAACATGGGTCTCAGACATAAGTCATGATGCTTCTTCAAGGCAACAGAGATCAAGAGGAGCTGGGTGTCAGGACTTTGAGATAAAAGCATACTCACCTGGGTGAAATAGGGACTGAAGGATCAGACCAACAGGGTAGATACAATATATTGTATAAACTATGTAAAAAGCTTGGTCATAGTTTGGGCACTGAATTATTGAAAGACCAATCTTGAAGTTGAAAAACTGAATCAGAGAATCTTGACAGCAGGAATTTGGGAGTCTTATGAGGAAAAATAATGATATAAAAGGGTTCTTCATGGTAACAGGGCCTCAGGCAGGAATGTATCTTACTGGAGAAGTCAAATGATCCAGGATATGAGCTTCACTGAGAATTATTGAGGTATGACCTGGGAGATATAAGCCCTTAACTGATAGCAGAAATTACTCTGAGTACTAGATTAGGACTGAGCCTTCGGTCGGAAGCCAGGTGGCCCAAGTGGGGAAAGCTGGTAGGGGAAAGTGCCTGCTGTGACTTCCAGCTCCTGCTGGGAAAACGACAGCAGTCATGATTTTTGCTGACTCTTACTGATAGTAACTTGGTTAATTTGCTTTGAAAGATCAGACTAAAAGATCCCCCAATGAATAAGCAAAAATAGTTAGACAAGAAATATTTTCGAGACAATCATTAATCTCAAAGGGACCCAACCCCTTCTTTGTGTCCACTTACATGTACGCCAAACAACCTTCACATTTTTGGACGAGATCGGGCGCATCAGGGTGGTATGGCCGTAGACACAATGTTCACATGTTTTAATGGAAAAAGACTTAGCATTTTTATATTTTGTGTAATATCCATTAAAACATATTAAAATAGCTCAAAAGACAATGGTTATTTCAACTATATTCACTGAGACAGCCTGACTCAAAGACTTGAGGTAGACAAGAACAGTAAAATTACTTATATATGTGTGAATATATATGTATACTGGTTTACTACTAAAATTAATACTAGGGTTATAAAATTTTAACTGTCATATAACCCACTTATTTATTCTTTTTTTAAAGATTTTATTTATTTATCTTTAGAGGGGAAGGGAAGGAGAGAGGGAGAGAAACATCAATGTATGGTTGCCTCTAGTGCGTCCCCTGCTGGGAAGTGGCCTGCAACTCAGGCATGTGCCCTGACTGGAAATGGAACCTCAATCGTGTGGTTTGCAGGCCTGCACTCAATCTACTGAGCTACACCAGCCAGGGCCCACTTATTTATTCTTAAATACATATATTTAAGAATATAATATTCTTAGATATTCTCAAGATCTAGCAAGTCTTGAGAAAATCAGGTTTAAAAATATGTTGGGGATAGGTTGAGGAAAATGTCTTTCCCTTACTATACATATTTTCTCACTAAAGATTATAAATGGCTTGTGTTAATTGAAATTAAGCACATGAGGTCAAACAAAAATGCTATAAATTATAGGTAAAAAACCCCAAAAGCATATGTTCTACAGTGTGCTAAATTAAGAAAGTTTAGTAAGGGTTTAGGGGAAAAACCTATTAACTGAAAAAAAAAGTGAATTCCCTACTGTAGGCCTCTTGCAGCACAGCACTCAGGCCTCAGTGAGAACACACCTGTAACCAGGCCAGCGTGTGAGGGCCTCTGTGTCCCTCTGAAACATATACAGAGGGGAGATCTTCTCTTCATAAAGGTTATCATCTCCTCCCAAGTTGCTATCATGTCAGAAGAATTTCCCCTGCTTCCTTGTAAACAAAAAATCAGAAATACAGTCCCTAGATTTACTTGTCCAATATGGAAAATCATAAAATGAACAGATAGAGTACACATTGTATTTCCAGTACAGTGGAGATTTCATTGTGACAACTTTTCTTAAATGTAGAAAGTAGTCATGACTTACCTGGATAAAACCAAAAATTAAAATTTTAAAGTACTCAAATAATCGTGGCCGTTTTTATGTTTAGCCTTAAATATGGAGGCACGAGAAAGAACTAGATGGGGCTTTAAATAATTTGTAGCCCAGCCTCTTAATTTGACAAATGTAGGGGCAGGCAGCAGGGGACCTAACTTACGAGGGGCAGATTTGGCTCTCAAACTCTGATCAGTGCGTTTGCAATCCAGGACTACCTTTCTTTTACCAAAGTATTTCAGTAGTTCTGTTACAAATCATTGTCTGAAAAGCTGTATAACTTTTGGAGTTTTACATAACATTTTATGTCCCAGCTTCCTTAGCTGCGGAACTGAGCTAATCTGTAGAAATAAATGAAAAAAATCTACATAAATCACATCTCAGAGCCTCATTCATAGTTAACCCCAATATGCACTAATTTTTATTGATCTTTTTAGAGAGAGAGAAAGAAACATCAATTTGTTGTTCCACTTACATATGCATTCATTGGTTGATTTTTGTATGTACCCTGACAGGGGATTGAACCTGCAACTTTGGTGTATGGGAACCACAACTCTAACCTACTGAGGTATTTGGCCAGGGCAATATGCACTAAGTTTTAGTAGTAGCTTAAGCTGTCACTGCTTTTGTTGATATTCAAATTAAAGACTAATTATTACTACTGTTATGAAAGCAACTATTATTTTTTGGTTGTTCTCTACATGGCAAGGACTGCTCCAAGTATTTTACCTGGATTAATTCAATTCTTGCAGTAATTGCATTACATATTAAAATCAAATACTTCTTCCCACATTGAGCTGAAATGAAAATGACCTTTTAATTGCTCTACTCTATCTGCTTTTTGAATTATTTCTTTAGGCAAATTAAGACATGTTGCCTTGTTCTTGCTGTTGTAAGGTTATTTTGCAGCTCTGGTACAGGGACCGAAAGACTGAGAAGTATGTAAAACAGTTCTGGCCTCCCTTCTCCTTACCACCGCATTTCTGCTTAAACAGGGGCATCATGTCGGGGAGAAATGCACACTTTTGGAGGATCAGAACAGTGTTGAACTCTGAGTTTTGGTGTATCTATCAAGAAAATAATGTAGAGGTGGGAGGATAGAGAGCGTGGTGCTGGGTAATCTCTGTAGAGCTTTAAATTCTAGTATCTGTGCATTAGAAACAAGAAGACCGGCTCTCTTATTGGATCTCACTGGGCATCGTTCTATCTTGGATGGCTTCCCGGACTGATGTACCTACTCAAGAAGTTTAAAAAAGTGACAAGTTTAAATAGTTTGTTATACCTATTGCCATCCTTCTTTGGTTCCTAAATTCTCTTTTTCTTAACCTCGATATCTCCGTTTTCATCTATCAGCTTGCTTCACACTTTAAATTCAGTGTTAAGTTTAAATTACCTTGCTATTAAAAAATTTATATATATATATATATATATACACACACATATATATATTCCATATATATGGATTTCTAACCTCAGCCCTACTTAGGATTTTTTGGCTAGTATGAGATTTGTGACTAAACACAGGTTTAGAGGACAGACTTAGAAATTCAGAAACTCTCACAGCTGCTTAAAAACGGTAAGGATTCACTCTTACATATGATTTCCAGTTTTCCTTTGACGTTAATAAACATAGTTTAAATACCTTTGTGAGTTGTTTATCTCTCTTACAGTCAGTATATTGGAAAATATTTTTTCTTATACTAGGTTGAAATAATGTCACAGAGACATCTGTAGTGTACCTGTTGGAAAATTTTAGAGTTTATCAAACATAAAACATTCTTTTCAAACTTATTCTAATCATCTTTGAAACTCTGTACCATGGTGTCTGTGATCCGCTCACTGGGAGTTTGAAAATGCTCTTCA